TACCTATTTGTCTTCTTTCAGCTTCATGTTCTACTCAGCGCTCAGTACCTTAGGAAGGCGATGGTGCACTAATACCCCTTTCCATCTTCCCTTGAAATTGGAGAAGTGACTGTGTTGGGCTGTTCGTGATAAGTACCTTAGGTTCAGTTAAAAAACAGAAGATACCATACCTTAGGAAGTACTACTCCTACCAACAGATGCATGCATATCGGGATCTGTGCATGCGGCCAGAAAGGGAAAGAGTCCGAATCTGACAGAAAAAACCGTTACTGTATCAACGAGTTTAATCCCAACTCTACCTACACTCAGTACTCCATGGTCACCTAGTCTACGACCATGGAGAGAAGGTTGAGGGGAAAACGGCATTAATACTTATGAACCTAAAAGAACTTAAAATCTTAAACCATGCCATTAGAATGGGTGCGAGTGAAGGTTAACCGCAGAGAATGACCTAACTAGAGTCCACAAGTTACGTCAAGCCACCATAGCCATGTGCGATGACATAGACCAATTTACATGGTCGTAAGATACATGCGCTCATCAATCCTTCTAGGTCCAATAGGATGGTCCAGATCGGTCGGACGGCGGGAGCAGGTACCTTTACAATCAAAGAGACAAAGCCAACGTGTGTGTCACAAGCCCATGGACGTTGTGTCTCGGTAATTGAGAGTAATTGCGGGAGGCTGGTGCAGTGGAGTGTGATGTTGGGAAATGCTGCCTGCGCGACCGGGCAGACGGAGAATCGAGGATCTCTCGTTTCTTGACCACCCCAAGACCAGCTTCGATGTACATTGATTGATAGGGCAAACATTAATGATGAGACAGCCATGCGATCTGTTATCTATTTTGGGAAATTGGCCCGACGCTGGCTGTTGAGAATAGTACAAACCTCCAGCTCATAGATAGTCATCGGCCTCACCAACCGATCGGCCATTGTCCGCCCACCCTCCCCTAGGCCAGGGAGATGCTTGGTCCTTTGTATCGACGTCATAGAGTTCTTCTCATAGCAACAGATCGCGATGCTGTAATAATAATGATTAATAGAAATTGGGAACTCATCTTGGAATGTTGACCGTACTGGCACGGTACCTTACGGAGGACTGGAACCTCATGATGACGATGATTATGTCACTTTGGTGAGCGGCTATGCCCGAGATCTCAAGCAAGGGAAAGCGGGGAGCGGTGCTGCGTACCATGGAACGAACTCCTACGCCAGCCAGGCACAGGGGTTTCTCTCTGAGAATTACCGTAATATTCTGATTTCAGTACTCTCATTTTATTCAACTCCATTTCAAATTCCTCCCCCTCCAATCACTGCTCGTGGTGTAACCAACGATGATCGAGAATTCGAGAGAGTGGGGAGTGTGAAAAGCCCCTCATGCAGGAAGAGATCTAGCCATCCATACAGAGACTTGCCCTCAGTAGAGTCCCGGTTGCTTGTGTTGCGCCAGCGAACGAGCGGTCAGATCTCTACCAGTCGCGATTTCAATGGTGCGACTTTTGCCTTTGGGCTAGCTGCAGGCGGAGATGAGTGTAAGCGTGTGTCTTGCTGATGTGCGATCAAATTTCCCCACTGTGAGTTCGATCGTTCCCAGATCCGGGTCAAGGATAACGAACGTTGCAAGCCTGTGTGTGCTCGTAGAATCGTAGCCTTATCTTACACAAGGGTCAGATGGTGTTCTAATGATCTTCCCTTCTTTTCATCCTGCATATGTTGGTCTACTCGTAGATCCGATTGGGTGTATATGTACGGACACTATCTTTGGAACAAGCTCTTGCTGCTTGCCGATGTTTGCCATGAGACAGATAATGAAGCCTTTGTTATTTGTGCAGAACTGCCTGGAAACCTTCATCAGAGACCCTAGTGCAGGATGAAATCAAGTAACAAACTCAGGTGTACGGCGCATTAAATTAGATCTGCTGACTGATCTCAGATAAAGTGATGGATAAAAAGTCCGCTTTCCTGGGTGGCCTTACTGCATAGTCCGCCATGGTTCGCAAAGTATATCAGGCAAGGGAAGCACCAGCAGAAGACACACAGCCATACTTTTCACCTACTTCCCTTGCAAGAAGTGCATGAACGGAGGATCTGATCTCTCTATTACGGTCAACCACTGTCAACACTACATGATGACCGCCATAACGCTTGATTCTCTGAGTAGGAAGCAGACCAGAGAGAATATCAAATTTGCATGATCGCCACCAGGACGATCAGGAGTTTCCCTCCAGCTTGAGGTCAAGTTCAGCTCGTTTGTCCATTTGCAAAGAATTCAGAAGCCCCCGTCTATTTCCTTTGGTCTTGGAGACTTGAACAATATGTATTCTTCGCCAACAGAACTAGGTTGGCCGTTTCCCAAGCTAATGTGCATAATGTACGATCTAGTCTAGGTATGGCGCCTCTCCTGGCATTACTCAAGGAAAGAAGAGGCCGGTCTATTGATCTTTATTGGTAATGAAAAGATCCCATCAAATTTAGACTCAGCATTCGCTGCAGACTCTGGACTCTGGACTCTTGACTCTCGATTATGATTACGATCTTTCCCCCTAACTTGCGTGTGCTTGGGTAATATTATTTACTTATTATCCAAATTCCAACGCAATGGTCCCGCAAGAGCTATGTGGAAATGATCGTGTCAGTCATCGAATAGGTTAGATCTCACTCATCTGACCTGTCACCTGTCTTCCCCGACAGTTCCAGTACATCTGCGGATTTGGAATACTTCGTATCATGAACATTGACTTCGAGGCCTTCTACTCTAGAAATAATAATAATGATAAGGGGTGAGTTCTGTCATATCGGCGATGGTGGTAATTAGCAGACTGTAGGTGAACGAGAATCTATAGGTGACTTGAAATTTCTTCGTATGTATTGAAAGTGTTTTACACTGGTAACAAAGGAAATGAGCTTAAAAAAAGAAGGCAAGATCTAGCTAAGATAGAAGATGAGGGAACCAACGCAGTGGAGATCTACAAAATTCATAAGAAATTAATAAGAAAAACGAAAAATAGAAATAAGGGGAAAATAGAGAACAAATTAGATTAGAGAAAATCGGGAAGGAAAAAGGAAATAAAAATAAACAAATAAAAAAAAAGGGAAAAAGTAGAGGAGAAAATGTACTCCATGGAGAAGACCCAAGAGGCCAGAGGAGAGCAGCCCTTGTCATGCCCCACCCAGATATCCGCTCATCACCAATATTGACCCAACAACTTACTCCCCACTATTTCGTCGAAGATCCGCAGTTCGCAGCTTGTAAAGCTTCTGTAATTCGCCGTAACTTTAAACAGGTCACAGCCCACTGAGTGACTCGACAATCTGGCAGGTGTACACTACCGTGTCCGATCTCAAGTAGTAAAGGGGTCCTCTGAAATCTGTTTGGCCATCTGTCCTTTCGAATGGTAACAGTAAATACTATTCCAGCCTCTGAGCTTATCCCTCCTGTCGATGATTCGACTTACCTAGTCTTCAGTAGCTTCCGCTTGGATGGACTTCCATATCTTGTGTGCGGGCGTGCCTGTGGCGGTCTTGTAATTTGTTCTTAATTCTGAGGTAGAATCTAGGTACATACGTAGTCTGCTAGGGCGTTAAGTACATCTAGTGAAGTGGTACGCCGTAGTTAGTAACTCAGGTACTAGTCCATAGTAGTAGGCCGCAGTGGGATAAATGAGGATATTGAAAAAAAAAAAAAAAAAAAAAAAAGGTCGATTTATTATTTTGTTTTTACTTTATCTCCATTAATAATAATAATAATATTATTCTAGAATTATAATTATAGTCATAGCTAATCTCTCCCTCCTCCGATGCTGGTTCTTCTTTGATCTTATTCCAGTAATTATTTAGCTTCTTGCCTCTTGACTCTCTTCTTCTCTACAAACCTTCCCTAAGATCCTGCATCTCATCCTCGCTCTTCGAACTCTTCTGCTTGAAGCAAAACTGCAGACTTCGGAAGAAGCACTTCGAACTGAACCCGCTTTGCGCTTCTTCCTGTCGCCTCTCCCACCCCTCAGCCTCTATCCATACTGATTACTTGCTTTTCCCCAAAATCGCGCTTCTGCTTCCGCGTCAATAATTTCCTCCGTCGTTTATCTGAGATTGACGCATACCATACCTAAGTTGTCATTTGGGGAGACAAAGAAACAGGCCAACGTTTCCTATTACACGCGACGCATTCATTCATTATCCCTTGCATCTACTGCGCCGCCCGCACCTCCCGCCCGCAACTCACACCACTATTGTCAAGATCGAAAGAGACCAACACAAATATTTGACAGCTGGAAATTTATTTCTATTTTCTTTTTTCTTACCCACGCCAATTCGTCTTTGGACAGATGTCACTCCCAAACACAAGAACGGCTGTTTTGATCTGATCTGTTCGTCGCGCGCTTCGGATGATTGCCGTATCCTTGATTCCTCCACCCAGAATTGTGAGAGGATCAATCTTATTTGACAATCGTGCCCACTTCTAACCGCATCGCATCTTCCGTGGGCTACTTGATCCCTCCCTGCGCCACTCCACTCTTCTTACGTCGGAGTTTGATCCCAAGCTTTTTCTGTGAATCCAAGTTGTCAAGAGTGCAGGCTTTCATTCTTCGGAACACCTTACAATCCTCTAACTCAAAATTTGCCTGGTTCACTCTCCCCACAACCGCCAACCAACTCAAACAACTTGTTAAAAAAGGTGGCACTTCTCTTCTTTTCCTCAACATATTCGTCGCATCATCTTCCCTCAGGCAAGCACAAGGGGATAGTTTTCAGATACCGCGATTTCAGGAAGGGGACGACTACACATCCCTCGACCACTTTACTCGAACCTCGAATATTGCCGCAGGACCGCCTACGCTCTGCAGCCCCTCGTCACTACACCAACGCGCCGAACCGCCCTGCTAACCGACAAACGCCGCGATCCTCTTCATAGCCGATTGAAATTCGCCGGGCGGCAGTGGCCAGTAGCGGAAATTTGGAGTGAATGAGGCGGGGACACTCAAAGTGACGTTCAGGCGTAATGGGGTCATTAGAGGCAACTCATAGACAGAGGTCAGTCTCCCGTTTTTCGTCCCGTCATGCGCTCCCAGGCGATCGTGAAGGAAGCGTTTGCTGGAGAGTATTGACTGACTGTAAATTTGCTGGATCTAGGGACCATCTACCAACCATAAGTTTCTTCACAAAGGACGGATCTGGATATCCCTCGAGAAATTCGACCATCTCATCACCAACACCACTCGTTAGCCCGACTACCATGTATCCCAGCCAACCTTCGCCTTACTCCTATCAGCCTTCTGCGGCTAGCGCACCTCCGCAGCCCGGATATATCTCCCCTCCGGATTCGAGGCGGGCACTCGAGGAAGAGAAGGAGAAACAGTTGCAACCACAGAGACAATCACTTCCTTCAATTCACGAGGCGTTAAGGAATGATAGCCCTTTACCATACCCTGCTCCACCTACGTCGGGTCCCCCGCCGCAAGCTCATCCCGCTCCTCCACATGCTCTCGTCAGTCGATCAGCAGGAGATGGCCCGGCCGGACCCCCAACCCGTTCTCCAACGGAGCGCCAGCAGGCCCATACATGCGCGAACCTGCTTATTCTCAGCTGCAAACGGAGGCTTCGCGGTCAAGCCTCGCATCAATCACCACACAGGAATCGAGAAATCCCTCACTACAGTCGCTCAACTCGAGCAAATCACCTACCCACAGTGCCAAGACTGGCTTGACTTCGATCACGGGCTCGCAGACGGGATCCGGGTACGAATATAGTGCTCCTCCTTCGGCGGGGAGTATAGCCTCACCCAATGGATACACTGCATATTCGCAGCCGTTCACTTTTCAGTCACAACCTCCACCAAACGCACCGACATACCCTCTAGCCCATCATGATACTAGACCCTATGCCGCAACGCCCTGGAAACCTGGCGCGCCAGAACCACCACGTGTCGAGGAATTGAAAAATGGGCTGGCGGGACGTCCTGCGGTTCCGGTACAACCTCAAGGCGACTCTGCCAAGCGCCACTTGGACATCTACGAAGTGGAGACTTCACTCAACGAGGTATGTGTTTTCATTGCGAGGAACATGTTTACCGGCGTTGTTCGCTAGGTCACTAACAGACTCTGGATCAGATCGCCGAAGTGAGTACGCGGACTTTGGAGTTTTCCCGTCACTATGCTACTAGAGCGCACCAGACTCAGCGGTCTGGGCCCATGTTGGGGACTTTGCCTTCCCTTCACGAAATCGAAGACATGATCAATCTGCAACGTCGGAATCAGGATGCTTTGATGCGGATACGAACCGCTGTTTTGAACCAGGAGCATGCCTTGGCGGAGCAGATGGCTCAAAGAAAAGCTTTCAACGCCGGCGGAGTCCACGATAGTGACCATATGGCAATGTACCAAGAAGATTTCAAGGGCAGTGGCGGATTTGCTGGGCCAGATACGAAAAAGCGACGAGGGGTAAGTTCTACTCTGTACTTTGCTTATTTGCTCACCCGTTTGCTTTGGCTCCTGCACTATTTTTGCAGCGAGTCTCAGGCTTTTCCATTGTTTTCCAGATCGTCATTTCCCGACTGGGCAAAGATTATCACCGAGCTAACCAAGCATCATTATAGAAGGCCGCCCCTCCTGGTCGTTGCCACAGCTGCAACCGAGCCGAAACTCCAGAATGGCGTCGTGGTCCAGATGGTGCTCGGACATTGTGCAATGCCTGTGGCCTACACTATGCCAAATTGACGCGCAAGATGGGCGCTAGCAAGGCTGCATCCCTGGGTTCCAATCTGAAGCCCAAAGCCGCTCTCGATCCCGCGCCTCCCGGTACCCGATAGTCACGTGTCTTTATATTTCTATTTTTTCTTCTCTTCTCTTCTCTTCTCTTCTCCCCTTTTCTCCTAATTTCCTTGTACTTTGTGGCGTTGAAAAGGCATTGGGGTTAGAAGTGCCAGGCGTTCTGTGTCCCAAAGTTTTGTTTGGATCACGAGCTCTCGCATCTTGATTCTTCTCTGGATGTCACGGCCAGTATGTCTTTACTTTGCGGATGGATCATCGTTACTAGATCATCCGACAGTGGGTCTCCTTCATCTTCTCCTACTATTGATTTTGTTTTTGGAATTATCCTTTCTTAATACCCCTCGCACGTTATGAGACAGCTACCAGGATAGACTATTTTCTTCTGTACTGGGCGATTATTGACTACTAGTTGATCTAAGATGTCTTTGTTCCCCTTCGTGGCTCGTGTTATTGTACCTGATCTACATTTGTTTTGCAACACTATACCCCGCTTCGACCCATGTACTCATCACTCCAACCGTATGCCTGCTGTCTGGGAAGGCGTTGATCTATGGTTCAACTCACTAGATTCGAGAAGATGTTAATCAATAAAACACGGATGACTGACCATGTGTCGTGTGCCACTCGTTTCGGTTACGTCTCCTCGGCGGTTTGTCTAGAGGGTATACATAATTTAGCGCATCTTCCGTATCATGGTTCAGAGAAATCGCGAAGCAAGACCCACTTAGTGAGCCCTTAGAAATCGCCACGAGCAAAGAGGAGGAACAAAAGTTTGGGGGGTGGGGAGGGGATGGGGGATGGAAACAACCAGAAAAGGAGAATCAAGCAATTGCCAGTTAGTGCTCGGTATTCTGTAGTTTCTGGACATTGTTAATCTCCGGCACGGGGAGGTAGTCTAGCACTCGCTAGGTTACTTCACATCACGCAGGCAACAGCCATAATACAGTTCCATAGAGTTACAGACTACGGCCTTCGTATCAGACTTCAACGTTTGGGATACAGGCGCTACTCCGCACAGGATGAGTACATATGAATATACTGCAGAGTCTCTCTGGGCGTACTTTGTCACGAGGTACTTTATGACGTGCAAGGCTCAGGAGGTGAACTCTGAATAGATTCATCAGGCTACTGGAACCTCTTGTCTAGTGACTGGTTAGCGCGCATCGGACGCATGGGCCTCCAGATAGACTTTGTCATAGCGTAGGATGCGTGCCGCATGGCTTTGGATAGAGTTTTATTCCCAGAATTCGATTCCGTGGCGTACGTAGCGTCGCTGGTAAGTTGCAAGTAACTAGGAGGTTTGCCACTGTCCGTCGTGGTTGTGTATTCTTTCCTTTCGTAGGTCGGAGTACTGCATAGTTATGATGAAGTTGATATAGGAGAACCGAATCTTACAGTTTACTGAAAGCGACCAATCACCGTGTCCGTAAACCCCAAATCGCGCTAGAACCCACCAGAACCACCACCGTGGGCCCCATATCGTCGATTTTAATTAAACGTCAATAATGTTACGGAGGACTCCCGTAGTCGGAAATGACAAATGACCATGAGAGACGCTTAATAATTTACGAAGTATGGCACAGATATTTGAGTTTGACTTGCATATGCTTCCAGTGCTTCCAGCTGCAAACAGTGACTATGAATTTCATGCTGGTGGGTGGGCCGACATGCCTGTACTGCGAATATGTATTTACATAACCAGAAGGGTTCGACCATGTTTTTAAAATACCGACTGAAACCTACCAACCTGTATCCAGCCTAGTGTTTCGATCGAATCGCATCGCATGGCATCGGATCGGATCTCATGGATCTCATCTCATCTCACCTGATCTAATCTCATCTCCAATCTTGCATGGGTCATCAGACTCGCTTTTTACGACAAAGGTTTTTTTTTTTTTTTTTTTGGCTGGTGCCAATGCAAGACTATTGATCAAGTGTTCTCCTGACTCCAAAACGGAAGGTGACGATCGCAAGTCCCTCTCACCGCACAATCTGGTGATTACAAATAAGCGTCCTATTCAACGCTATGGCGATGTGGTGTAACCTAATTTCAGTTAGTGACTCGTGGATTGAGTTCAGTCGTTGCTGCTTATCCGGGATATCTCCGCTGGAGCCTGCGAAGGATTGGTGAGAGGAATTTCACAAAATGGCATGCTGTCCGATGGTGGAATTTCGATGGATCTCCTTATGCCAGTCTAGAAGGGGGCAGTGTAATCCATAGTTCAGGTACCGTCCCGCTTGACCCAAAGGTTACAGGTTGATTACATAGATTTCGAATTCGGATCTCCGCGGCATCTGACGTATTTGTCTTCTGTCACTTGGCATCGAAACATAATGCTTCCAAATGTTAGAGAATTATGTGCCGGGGACCATAGCCACTGGTCTTCCACATTTGGTACGGCATTATCGGCGATCACGCGGAAACGAGAAGTAAAAAATCCGTCACCGATCTACGTCCGAGCACGGACGATGGCCGTGGCGGAAGGAATTCAGTCGCCCAGCTACGCAAGAAAAAGAGTGTATGGGATACTACGGACGACCCAATCCCTCGGTGCCTGGGAGCGGTGTGCTCCAACTTCAGAGTTCAATCTACGGTACTGTACTCTCCTCAGCCCGGTAATAATCATCGTTGAAATTCAATCCGTATGCCATATAGAGTATGTACTTGGGTGATCTGTGGTTCTATTCCACGAGGCATTCATCTCCAAAGTATACTGCAGAAAGTACTCCGTACTCCATGCGATATTCCATTCCTGGCCAATATGGAATCTGTTACAGTGCTTCACGCTATTTTGGTATTTGTATATCGACGAATGGAGCTCGCTTAGAGTAAGAAGATACAATACGGCAAGCTCTTTCTAGAAAGGTGCCACGATAGCCGGAAGACTAGGACAGCCCAAAATACCAGATCCTAAACTCTTCCTGCCGCGTTTAGCTCGTTAGTAGTGGGGCATTCACAGTCGAACCAGATTCCCATTCCCGGTTTGTCATCCTGATTGGGGAATAGTTGATTGTTAGGCGATTGGGTATTGGATTTGGTGGGATGTTGCTAGTTTGGGTCTAAACTCGGACTCATTCTAAGGGGTAGGGGTGATGTCGGAATACCATTCGACAGATGGGTGCAGTAGTAATGTACCTACCTGCATCATTCTGTACGGAGTTATTTTGCGGTATAGAGCCCGTAGGTACAGCATTAAAAGTCATCGTCGTGCCTTTGCAATCGTCTATAACCCATGGTCAAAAGTGCATGCAGTAGGAGTAGTCATCCTGTCTTAATTTTAGTTGTTTTTCTTCCTGGACTCTTGATCTTAAATGGTCAAGTAGAAGAGCGACCCACTACATATGCGTGTCGTTTCCTGATTGCTTGGTGGTGATACCCGGAGATCAATGGGTCCCAAACGGGTAGTCAGATGGGATCCGAAGAACCACTTTGCTCAGGGGGAGGACCAGATCTCATCGCGATGATGGCATGGTCTCAAAACTCAGGCTACCTATTCCGTGTACCATTACCATATTATCGGATCGTATTCTGGTCCAATAGGATGGGCTCTGAAAAGGAAGCTCCAGATAGTGCCCAAGCAAGGTTTGTTTGGGGTATGAGATGGATCCATCTCGCTTCGATCTCTGTCCACCACCTACGTTGGGACCGTGTGGGCTTGAAACACTTTCTTTGTCTCAGTCAGCGGGCAATAATATGCGCTAGTAGATCAGCAGATAGGGCAGTTATGACTACTCGCGTTACACAGCAGCACGATGGCTTAGTTTGTACTAAGGAGTCGCTATCATGCGCTTACAAAACAGATCGGCACCCTCCACGACAACGATTTCCATCGCTTGCATCCGAATTTCTAGTCAATAGTCATGCCGGAAGCAAGGAGAGATTCGCCCAAATCGACCTCACCTGACTGGTCAATACGCTTTTTCCTGCTGCAGCCTGCACGTCGAGATCTGTAGATGGGTAATACAGTATGCGGATCTATGCGGATGCAGATCCCAGGCAAATCCTTACGGATACTGTTCACTACGTCAGCGCGCAAACCGCCCAAATAGGTAAGGATGGCCCCGTACCTATGTGCTCGGCTACAGCGCATCAGAAGAATGCCGAATTGAATGTCCATAGGGCCATACCTGCATGCTTGCATCTCACAAGAGTGGCCCGAATCGAGAGATACAATAGATGAGAACACAGGTGAGACTCAGGGCCTCCTGCGACCCGGAAAAGTGGGTGGATCATAGCATTAGCACGCATGACATCCTGCCCAACTGGGTTAAGCAAGACAAGTTATCGGTAACTTAGTACCTGAGTAGATGACCTCGCTTGTCCAGAAACGGACAGGCTCGATGAGGCTTGAGGCTTATTTGCAATACCTTCTGCATCTATTTCAAATTCCTCAGGGCGTGCGGTTGGTTGGACGGTCGACGGCCAATCTGCAGACAGAAGATCCGGGCCATGCAAGGCTACGCCTTAGCGGCATTTGACCGATCCCTAATCCCCTATTGTTGTATTGAGTACCAACCGTGGATGCTCGACGCCTGGTAGAGCACTCTTCCTGACGGTATGCCATCGCAGATCTACCTTCGAACTACCGGGGAATGCAAGGTTGAATGCTTCCTTGAAACTTAGCAATCGGCCGAAGCGGGATGGATCAGAGATCGATCTGGAACGCTCAGATCGTTCCATTTCTTCCCTAGCTACTGACGCATTGAATACTACCCTAGTCTATTGTCTATAGTTCCATATAGACCTTTATTCATACTTCCATTCTCAAAGGTATACGTCCATTACTATCTAGATATAACGTGTCCTTGTCTTTTATTAGTACTCACCTGAGCGACTATTTATATAAGCGATCGTCGTCGTCATTTCATTAGCTAAACTGCATGAAAGGAGATTTAGGAAGCTAATCCCAAAATAGTAATTCCTCAATTCCCCCCTAATTTTAAGCAATCATTCAGCATTCTCCACCATATCTACCCGAGAATAACAAGGGCCCCATCTATGATCTATGGTTGGTCGGAACTATTGACCGGCATAGCTAGCATCAAGACATGCATACTGTCCCAGATCATGCAAAAAGAATGTCCCAGCGGTTCGCAGATATTTCCAACGTAAAACGGAATGTGTAGCTGTACATGAGAAAAACTTTATTCTAGGAGATTAATGTGCTGTGGGGGTGCGAACATCATTATCAGCATGCACCTGACTTCCATATGAGGTAAGGTGGTAATACCATTATACTTGCTGACTGTAGATACTGGTATCCTGACCTAGGTACTCCGTAATTTTCGTACACCGAATAAGAGTCCGCTTACTTCTTAATGTCGAGTTGTTCAACTGGACATTCTATCTAGATGATGCGCGGTCGCCAATGATGTGGAGTAGATTGGCGATAACTGCGCCTTAGCATGAATTTGGTAATGTCGGTGTTGTCGACGAAAGATGGATATGTTTAGAGAGCGCACGTGCTAAGTCTTATGAAAAGTTCTTGGTATTGCAGATATATATCATTATCGTCCTGGGACGCGTCCTATTTACAACAGTAGCTGCAACAGTAGAAGTACTCAAAACTATCACGGCGCTGCATCTCTGCTACAATCAGAGAGACTGCTTGTGATCGTCAAGGCACATGATCGATGTAATCATCGCCCATAAGCATCAGCCTTGGAATTGATATAGTCAATCCCCTTCTTCCGCCATGTGTCGGGCTCCATGTGGCTCGTAACATTGGCATCGAAGAGCAAGTCGACTGGCTTTCTTCTGCCGTACGGATCCCAGTGCACGGGTGAGTTCTGGATGCCCGTGTTTGGATCCAAGTCGTGGATGAACGAAGCCCACATGCTCGTCATCAGCTTGCTGAGCTGCCTGTATGACTCAGGCGTGCCGGCAAACGGTTTACCACTATGATAGCCAAGTCCCTCGATGTTGTTGAAAACAAACGCCACCTCCTCAAAGTGGGTGGCTCCCAGGAGTAGAGGAACATCTGCCGCGTGGACATTGAATCGGTAGCAGTACGCCGGCGTTGATGTCTCTGTCCACGCTTCACATTGTCGGCGGCGGTTGGCGTGCATCATCACATCGCCTGCGTAGGCGGATGTACGTCGCCATTGGTAGCCCATGGATGGCACACGTTCGGATCCGAGGTACTCAGGGATACCTTGGGACGGGTCGTCAGGATACAGCCGTAGGATTTGCTTTGCTACCGGACCGGGGAGCTTGATTGTCCCTCCATATTTGGCATCTATCTTGATGGTTAGCGGATCTAGCAATAAAGATGGAGAGCACTCCAACAAACCTGTGAGGTACTCGGAGAATTGCTCCGTGGTATTGATCCCAGAGGGACCAAACGCTGTCCCCTCGTCTGTGTTTGTGCCAGCAATGATTGGGACTTTGACATATTTGTGTTCCTTCAGGAGGACACTGCCGCGATCCGGGATGAAATCCCCGTCAACCACGGGGGCAAATCGATAGTTGGGTAAGCCGCCAGTACCGTTGAGCGCGGCATTCAACGTCTCGAAGGGCACTTCACGCAGACATTGCAGCGTGTCTTCAGCGTCTGCGCATTGGACTTTCGATACAAGGTCGTCGTAAAAGCCTTGGAACACTGTGTAGCTGGCTGGACTAACGGATATTGAGCCACCAGATTGCATAATAGCTCCGCGGAAGAGACCATCGTCTCTGCCGTCGTACGCTGTCAGATGATAGCCAACAGACATTCCTCCAGCGGACTCTCCCCAGATGGTGACTTTGGTCGGGTCGCCTCCAAACGCCGCAATATTCTCTTGGATCCATTGGAGCGCCAATCTTTGGTCTCTGAGCCCAATATTAGTGTTCCCGCTGTCGACGACCTCCTGAGAACTCAAGAAGCCCCATGCGGAAAGACGGTAGTTGAGCGAAACGGCGATGAACGGTTTGCCTGAACAGGTAAGCGTCTTGATAGATTGTCTTCTTGTGTCTGAGCATATGGCTTACCAATCTCGTACGAGTTTGCAACGATAGCAGACATGTTGTAGCGCTCGTCTGAGCCTGAGCCCATGTAGAATCCACCCCCATGTATCCACACACCAACAGGCAGCTTCGAGTTCTCGTCGACCGACGAACCGCGGATGACGTTTATGGTGAGACAAGCTTCAGACATGGGATACCAAATGGAGTCCGACTACTTTCAATCAGGCTTGCCTGACTTCTGCCAAAGAGAGAGGAATTGACTTACGCCGTATCCAACACAGATATCCGAGTACTTCTTTGCATCGCGCTCCCCCTCCCAGCTCTCGTTCAAAGATTGAGGGACTTTGAATCGCAGATTTCCCACGGGCTGCTGGGCATACGGCATGCCTAAAAAGAAATCTTGTTGGTAATTCGCATTTCTCACGCCAACGTAGGTACCATTTCGGACTCGGACTTTGGGATTGGAAACGCTGCTCGGTGCAGCATTCCCCACAGCCCAGAGAGCAAAGAAAGAAGCAGCCAAAAGTTTCATTCTGAACGCTCAGGTCTCGCTATCTGGGACTGACACCATTTCCTCCCCCGCGCAAGATTCGGCTCGATCATCTTATATAGGTTGGTGCCCATTGTGGTGGCGCAAAGAGAAAACCCGCGAATGACGCTACCACTTCTTGCAAAGCTGGGTTTTCGGTGATTGCTGGTCTTCATGGCGTGCCCTTAATTCCGTCAGTGGGCTCTCATACAAGCTCCGCATGACGACGAGTCATGAAATTTGCGGGGCTCTGAAGAGTGTGGGGATCCCACAAAACGCACCCCGGCCGTTCTGCCTAGAAGAGCAACGATCATCATCTCCATTGCGGAGAACATGACTTCGTGGGGCAGAATTGGGTATAGAAAACGAGAAATAGACTAAATCATGATGCTCGGGCCATTGCAGGCGGCACGGAAGTGCGCCGAAGAATAGCCGTGGCCGACACGCTCAAGGCATGTGAGATGGAGATGTAAGACATCGCAAGCCGAAGTCTATTGCTGGACAAGAGTCTTCATGGTTGATTAAGCTGTGACAAAAGTTTAAACGTGATTCCCAACCGAGTCGGACACCCTAGCGAGCCGGACACCTCTGTACTCCTTATAAAATGGCACCCATCAAGGCTTTCATATCTCAACAACCAAGCATCTACAGGGCCTAAGTTTAGTAAGAGGTATTAGTATAGACGTATAGAGTCATATTCATAAGCTACAGCCTCCTAGTAGATGTACATACTCAGGTAACATAAACTACAGCTGTATTTTGGTGATATTAACTTTTAGATAATAAGAGAGAGAAATAGTATTTTAGGGTCTTGTGAAAGAGTATCTAGATACTTTAATCTAGATATAGGCTAAGTTTCTTACCTATATTATAGTATATATGGACGCGGTTGAGATATTAAAGCCTTGAAGAGCGCTATTTTATATGGAATACAGAGGTGTCCGGCTCGCTAGGGTGTCCGACTCGGTTGGGAATTACTTTATTGGATAGTTACGAGTCAGGGAGGTTTTGTTGAAAAGTATATAGAGCCCTAGACTGATAGGAATCATGTCCGGACAACCTTTTAGCCTAGTGGTTTTTATTTCAATAGGTTTCCTCAGGTGGAGTCTTCGGCCTCCGAACCGTTAGAAGTTAGAACATGGAGTGGCGTTAAGGTGACCCGTAACAGATGGTCTCGGGGATAGCCATCTCATTGATGGCATCGGTGTTGACAGTGTTGATACGATGGCAGAGAGTAACGTAGATGGGTGCGAGACAGCAAAAGTCCTCCCAGGAAGCAACAAGCATGAAATGGCTGACTGCTCAATCCGCATGTGCACCGTGCCCGCAGACCGCAAGGGCCGGACGGAGAAGTGGAAAGCTCAGCCAACGACAAGACTCCAGTCTTTGTCCAGCTCAATACACGTATCTTGCTGGCAGTAAAGACCTCGACTGGCACTTCCAGGAGCTGTGAAGCGACGGCTTCATAGGGGATGCAGTCATTCTGTATTGTTGTGCAAAGAGTCAATCAACCTTTCCGCGCATCACTCTGCAGGTTACATATTTCGATATGCCCAGTTCTAAATCTGGTCATCTAGGGTGAAAAATATCCGACATAACGTCTATATGGCAACGAACGCCGGCTGAGCACTGCTCCTGGAGGCTGTGAGAAAATGTTACGCAATCATCCTGCTTGTGTTGCCTACTGGTCTTGACCATGTCACGCAGTCAAGAGGCAACCTTTCAAGCCGCATTCAATCTTCATGTGCCTCTGCCGTTCGGCAGTTAAACGGGTCATACTTGTCAGACAGTAAAAACTTGATGCAGCTCGCAGTGTAACGGTGACACATCCAACCTGTCCTGTAAATCTCTTTCCAATGCGGTGGTGACGAGATCTGTCAGCGCCGTGTCCCTGAATTGCGACGGATACTCTAGTGTGTGTCAGTCCCTCTCGAAGAGAGATCCCTCGAACAAACATGTGCCCACGGCTCCTCAAGCATAAACAGCAGGTTCAATCTGCCCTTGCACTTCAAAGATATAAACCCTCTTAACGGGAACCTGCATGTGAAATGGCTGATGGAGCAACCGGGAGGGGGATGTCGACCTTCGATCATATGAAGGCCTTTCCCCGGAACCGGCAGCTTTTGCCATTCACTGGCACAGAAGCACGCAGCGCAAGCCAAAAAAAAAGCATTTTTTTCACTTCTACACCAGCATCTCCAATCAACTCCACAAGCTCAAAATGTGCTGGGCACTAGCAAACCAATCTCAGCGACAATCGGATGTCTCAACCTCAACCGCCTGCGATCTAACGGAGGAGGTCGACGCCATTATCGCAGTGACAAAGGGCTTCCTCTCGGCCTTGGAAACAAAGTCTCGCGATGACTTCGACAAGTACTGCGTCAAGGCAGGAGGAATGGCTCTCTGGCCACCGCCACCCAGCGTGCCACGATTTTGCACAATTGGCGCCTTTGTCGAGCACATTTCCAAGATCAAGGATGATATCGACGAGCGCATCTGGGACCCTGAAGTGAAGGTGCACGAGTCGGCGGATCTAGCGGCTGTGTGGGCCCCGTTCAGGGCGAAGATCAATGGGGTTGTGGACCATGTCGGTGTCGAACTGTTCGTCCTCCATAAGATTAATGGGGAATGGAAGGTGACTGGTCTGGCTGATTCGTGCCGACGACCAACGGAGGATGAGAAATTTTCACTAGCCTGAGATCAGTTTTGGCTCCACACATGATCGGTCTCGAGGAGGGAAATGCTTGGATACCTGAAGCGAATCTGCAGAGAAAGCCAAAGACAAAATGTGCAAGGGGGAGAACTGGAAAGGGTCTGGATATCAAAGACGGTTTTGCATAAGTCTTGTAATGGAAGACCAAGTAATGCAAGAGAATGCTATCTATAGCTGAACGATATTATACACCAATGCTAGGTCTGTGAAACAAATCTCATCACTCGATAATGCAATGCTTTGAAATTTATTTGCCCCTGAGTAATTGCCATCCGACACTCCCGTCTCTGCCTTCCTTTATGGTCATCTCTTCCACAGCGTTCACAAGGTCGTAGCAGATCTCTTCAGATACCACGCTGTCCTGCTTATACGAAGGATGAGAGGCAACGAACTCACGAATCCACCGGGCCCCTGTCCAGAGAGTTCCGTTTGCTCGTTTCTTGATGAGGTCAAGGTAGGTAGCTAAGGAACACCGAGTCTCCACGTCCACATTGACGCTATTCAGGTACGATTCAACGAGTGGAATGAGCCCCGGGAATGATCCGTCCGCAGAGCCATTGACAATTTCATCAATAGTCATAAGATCGTACTCCAAATCCACTGGTCCAAGTGGAGGTGACGGAGGGGTGTATTGTAGGCAGAAGAAGTGGCTGATGAGGCCTCGCTGGCGCTGGTCGAACGATGACTCGGTCTGGGGACACGGCGGGAAAATGGATCTTTGCGGAAATAAAACTTCCGGTCCAGCACCGCATTGCGTGCATGAGCCGTCTCCATGTTCTCGGTGGTTCGTTGAATCGGTATGTAGAAGTTAAGGTCGAAGCTGAGGATGGCACGAGTGACGAGAACAATAAAGATACTGAAAGCCGCATTCTCAAAGTCCGTCATCTGAATTTCCATTGAACGGAATTCGACACGCCAGCCAATGTCAGCCTTGTCTGGTGGCGGCGGCTTGAAGCGCATGTGCTGCCAGTTAGTGGACTGTAAGTTCTCAAAGTGGTCGGCCTTGTTCAAATCCAGCTCGTCCAGATCCTCTGCGAAGATGACCAAGGGGTCACGGATGAAAAGGTGGGCAAAATGCGTCGCCAACAAATCATCCATGCCTCCCTCGATAAGTCGTTTCTTGATGTCTTCGTCCACAATCAGTTCAGGATCCAGGTACTCCTTGCGCAGCCTGGGGTCCTGGGAGATGTAGGTGGAGTTGGACGCGTATCGAGACTTAGGGATCCTCCATCTATCATTCTTCAGAGGCTGGCAACTTTTGTTAATTCCATTGCGTCGAGAGCCAGGGTATGCGAGATTCCTTACAAGTTCGCCAAGCTCTTCCCGCGTCCTATCGTCAACAGAATTCCCGATTTGATTCCACCGAACATCAGTATCGACAAGGAATCCCTTGTATATTGGTGTCGCAGCTGTAAGTGCCAGTAAAATTGGTCCCAGTGGGCTAAGCTGGTCATACAGTTTCCTCCCTTCCGTTATGTTTTTTGCTTGGAATGTGATCTGAAGACAGCAACTGCCCATTCCAAACGCCATCGCATCCATATAGACATGGCCTTCCTTTGCTGCCCCATTTCGCACATCATCGTCCTCAGGCCAATTGTGAAGATCATAGTTAACTGTGGGGTCCTTGAAAGGCACTGGGGTGTTCTTGTCCACGAATACAGGCACATTCAACTCGACCTTTCGGCCCCTTCTCGATCTGATATTTGCTGCCAGCGTTGGGAATCTGATATGTGGATTAGCAATTTCGTCGGGGACAAATTGCGAGCGCAGTGCTGGCCCAGATGGAGGATAGTAAGGCTGAATGTAATCATCCTTTGTTCCTAGACGAGGAAACGTGGTAAGTGTGATGGGGACCTCATTTGGCGCCATGTGAGACTTTGCAATCTCCCGCCTGAACCGTCCAGTTAGTGACCGTAAAATAAATCATGATGGCAATAGCAAACGCACCTCCATTTCATATTCGATTCCACTTTCAAAAGATCCTTGAAGTCGATACCCCACGGCCTACCCGGAGTAGCCTCTAGCATAAAGCGGCCGAACTCGGGATGGAAATGAGGAGGTTCTTCGCCCTCACTAAGGTCGCGGTATTAGGCAGATCCGATAATAAGGCACATGACCAAAATAGCTTACTGTTCTTTACCATGAGCCGGACCAGAGCGCTTCTCTTTCCACAATGCCTCGTCTCTGGCCAAGGACTTGAGAATCTCCGCTTGAGCCAGAGACAACCGTGCCTTTTTAACCTTGTCATCGATAGCTACCACGAGGTACTCGACCTGATTCCGTGTGAGCTATTTGGCCAGGAAGAGCAATCAATTCGAATGGAGGAGCTATCTACCTCGTCACCCCATAGCAGGGCATCACGCTCTTTCCCTTTGGCTCTGTTCCAGATAGCCAGTAATTGCTATCAGTTATGTCAGTAAGGGTCCCGATATCCGATGTCGCATGGACAGAGAACATTGACTTCAAGGGACTGACCTCAATTCCCCATTTCCGTACTTGATCGGAACGTTTCTTGGCTTCCTCCCAGTCAAGCGCTGTCCCAAGGGCTCTTAAGCTAATATTAGCAGCAGATTCTGCGCATCGTCACGCTTGACATACAGTAAACCCATCGTATCATGGAAGACCCAACCAACCCAGTACAATCAGCCAAAGCGGTCAAGCTGAGGACAAATCCGAGAACCCGCACAGAGAGGAGGCGGAAATCCCTGGCAGTCTAGACCTCGAATGAACGCGGGGCCAGCGAGGAAGGTGCAACCAATGTCTGTGGCAAGCGATGCAAAGTATCTAAGGTACACAGTAACAGGAGAAGAAGAAGTGAGATTATCTGATCATCGCAGAAGTGATGGTTGGACTTTATCTGCTTTTTCGCGCCGAAGCTTCGGTGGCCGGAATCAATCGCCTATTGGCGTAAACCTTCCCACTGGCATAGTAGTGGGGGAGGATTTTTCGTTCCCGCGGGGCAGCAAAACTGGAATAGTCACTAAACCCGTATAAGTTGCTGATAATGCGGCGGAAACTGCGCGAAGAGGATTTATAAGCAACCTGGAAATCTCCCAAAGGGCGGAGATATCGGATCATGTGATTACGTCTGTGGCACGTAATAGGGCAGCAGTGCAAGTATCTTGCTTATTTTTTGAAGCAAATAACTAAGACATAGACACTTTTGTAACTTACTATTTAGTTGTTGGAGACCTCTGAACTTCGCGATATGTCGGTGCGATTTAGAATAGCGTGCCATGGATGATATATTGTCTATATGGCCGTGCTCTAATGCAAACTTCGGAATTGACCTCCAGGCAGAGCTGAAAATTGACTTCTTCTTACTTTATGATACTCGAGGAAAGACTGTTATTGGGAGTATGAGGCACTCCCTGCGGAATGGTATGACATATCGAGACTGCCACGACATCAGCCCATTCATGAGCCGCTCGGAATGGCCACATTTCGAAGTCAACTCCCGGCATAACGGGATGATAGACAGGAAGCGGAGACGGAAATATACGAGAGCAACCAAGAGCTAGTTCTGTAGCAAAGCAGATTTGCTGACAAATACCATTAGCCAACAGCAATCCGCAACCACTGGCCACCTTTTCGAGCCGACTGAAGCTCTCACACATGACCAACTCAACATCGTGTAAAAGTATGTAGTCCCTGCAGAATGCGCCTCGATGGATCAACAGGGCTTAGGTGCTCATTGGCATAGTTTTGGCAACTTCATTGCGAAGAAGATCCCAACGCCAGTCGGTGCATGGGCAAATAACCTCATAATCTCTATTATGTACATAGTCGGTTCCTCCGTTCATTTCGAGTGCACAGTCGGTCTCCCACAAATCAGTTGCTCCGGGCACCATTCTTCGCGGCTCGCAGCTCATCCATCTTGGCGACGCGCTTCTTGAATTCCTCGTATTGACACTTCTCGTAGCTGTGTCTCTCATCCTATAGCAGGGTTCAAGGGTTAGTTGCTGCCGGAAACCCCGAAATCATGTACTGGGACGCAAAGCACGGTTGTAATACCTCGCATTTCCAAGGAAGGTAGTACTCCTGCTGTCGGCACCGGTTCAATGGGATCAGGAGGTGTGCACAGGAGTCTCGGTATGGAAGGGGAAGACGAGCATCGGACATTTCTTGACGGGAAGCGACTATCTCAATGAGTTAGCAGCCATTGCAGTTATCCATCCTTCAGCGTCCGATTCCACAACTGGAGTGCCAATGGCACCAAAACATACCAGTGCTATCCCCGAGCCCAACGGCGCTCTTCACTGACTCCGCGACAGTCATATTGATGGAGAAAATAATGCACGGAAGAGTGTGGTTGAAGGATAAGCGACCGGGCAGCGATGTTTGCAGCTCTCCTGCTGGCATGCTGTTCCTTCGTTCCGCGATACGGTCAGGTGATACCACGTGACAAACGCTCTGCAATAGGACTAGCGCATCTTCGGACCACTTTACGCGGTTCTTTCCTCCCAAGCGCGTCTTCGCTAGCCCAGCCTGCAAAGCATCGCGTTTCTGGGATGTCACTGAGTGTTCAACGAGCCACTGGTGGCTAATACTTCGTCTTTTCGTCTTCAAAGCTGTTGTTTCATAATCTATTGGGCTCCTATATTATTGCATGTTCGTTAATACCCAGAAACCGGTTAATCTAGGCGTTGTGATTGGCCATCAGAGGCCGTCAAGCCGCGTCAAATCATCTGCTGTTAACAGTTCGGGAACATACTGATTGCATCACAACGGTTTGCGGAGACGGGCATTATGGCGGCGGTGGATTTCTCAAAAATCTATTCTGCTACATACAGCAGCGTGAGTCTTTTCTAATTGCGTTTCTCTATTTTCCCTACAGCGTCGACTTTTCACGCTTTCCTCTTTCAATCCAACTTACCCCTTCCTTCGCCGCGAAGCCAATCTAACGCAGCTCAATAGGTCCCAGTTTACGAGTTCAAAATCGATGGCGAAAGTGTTATGCGCCGACGAGGCGATAATTGGATCAATGCTACACATATTCTCAAAGTAGCTGGTTTTGACAAACCAGCGAGGACCCGGATTCTCGAGCGTGAGGTCCAGAAAGGGACCCATGAGAAGGTTCAGGGTGGCTACGGCAAATACCAGGGTAGGATATCCTGCACGGTCAAGTGTCGTCGTTTGTCATTCGGCTAATATTGTGGATAGGAACATGGATCCCACTGCCTGAGGGTCGTTTACTCGCCGAGCGCAATAACATCATTGACAAGCTAAGGCCGATTTTCGACTATGTTGCAGGGGATCACACTCCTCCACCGGCACCGAAACATACTTCCGCTGCCTCATCAAAACCAAGAGCCTCCAAAAAGAAAGCTGTGAATGAGCAGGTATTCAGTGCTGCCAAACCCATTCGCAACATGGGACCACCGAGCTTCCCGCACGAACAATTCGAGATCAACCCTGGTTATGACGATAACGAATCGAATGAGCAGGCGACACTCGAGTCATCTTCCATGGTGGCAGATGAAGAGATGATGCCTATGTCGCAACATGGCTCTTATTCTCGAAAGCGCAAGCGTGAGATGAATGAAGTCACTGCCATGTCGATTAGTGAGCAGGAGCACATACTCTATGGTGACCAGCTGCTGGATTACTTCATGACAGTTGGAGACGCCCCAGAGGCAACACGCATTCCACCTCCGCAACCTCCAGCCAATTTCCAAGTCGATCGTCCAATTGACGATTCAGGCAATACTGCTCTTCATTGGGCCTGTGCAATGGGGGATTTGGAAATTGTGAAAGATCTATTGCGAAGGGGCGCAAATATCAAGGCATTATCTGTCCATGAAGAAACGCCTCTGGTACGCGCTGTCTTATTTACGAATAATTATGAGAAGAGAACATTTCCGGCACTTCTGGACCTACTTCTTGACACCGTCTCATTCAGGGACTGGTTCGGTGCCACCCTTTTCCATCACATATCGGAAACTACCAGGAGTAAAGGGAAATGGAAGAGCTCTCGATATTACTGTGAAGTGCTGTTGGATAAGTTGCACAATACCTGCTCGCAAGACGAAATTGACCTGCTACTCTCCTGCCAGGACTCAAATGGGGATACAGCTGCTCTAGTTGCAGCTCGAAATGGCGCATTTCGCTTGGTCAATCTGCTTCTCGGCCATTGCCCGCGAGCTGGAGATCTGGTCAATAAGAAAGGCGAAACGGCCACAAGCATTACCCGGAGAGCGCATCCCCCGAGCGGGATATTCCTCCCCCGCCATCTTCGATAACAGTGGGAATTGATCACACAGAAGGCGATCTCACTGTCCTGGAAACCCCGGACCAAACCGTTGCTCTTCCGCCCGACGCTTCCCCTGCCACCTCAGCCTTGCTTGCCAAGATTAGTGCTATCATGGCCGAAACTAATAAGAAGCTCGCGGCTTGTTATGGGCACACGAAGCCTAACGAACCAGACTCGGACGATGTCGCGAATCCCGAAGCTTTCTACCAGCAGTTGGAGCTGGATCGGCAGAAGATTCAGAAGCAGACTGCCGCCTTGGAAGCCAAAGAGACCGAAGGAGAGCCGGTTGAGGCACAGCTTGAACGATATGAGCGACTCAGAAGCACTTACGAATCTCTTTTGGAACAAATTCAACAAGTCCGCCTGAAAGAGCGACTAACATCAATGCCTCCACCGGCAAAAGAGAACATGATGCCCTCCTCGAGCGATCAGAACCAATTATTAATCACTTATCAGCAGGCGCGGCAACTATGCTCCCTACAGAAAGCGCGCCGTTCAGCTGTCAGGGATCTAGCTCAGCAGACCGCCGACGCGGGGGTAAGCACCAAATTCGACGTGCATCGAAGGCTTGTCGCTCTTGCAACTGGCCTAAAGGAGGAAGAGTTAGACCCCATGGCCGCAGAGTTGGCTGAGACGTTGGAGTTTGACCGAATGAATGGAAGGGGGCCGGGCGGCGAATCACCTGAGCCAGTGCAGAAGCGTCTCCCTTCTCAAAGGGAGCCATCGTCCCTCCCGTTCTCTGGGCCAACAGTATCTGTGGACGCATGAACAGGGGTGGCTTTGGCTGAGAAGCATGTCTGTAATCATGACTCCAATCGTACAAGGTTGTACGCCCTCTTGATTTACTCCCATTCTGACGCGGGGGCCGCTTAACTCTCCATATCCATTTCTTCTCTGCATGTCCCAGCATTATCTCATGATTTGCGATGCTCTTTGCACTCCTGGCGGACAGAATGATGCGATGTCTGCCAGCAGATACCCAAGCTCAATTTCGTATGTTTTTGAATGATCTCGGTGTTTCCAACTACCGAGTGGATTCTTTGAGAACTTATCTTGTTCGACTATTGCATGCTGATTTTTCATCCGTGGTGACCCCGGCTGATAATAACCTCCTGACACTGGTTCTGCAGTGAATGAAGAGATTGTACATAGTAACAGACCCAATTATGCTGAACAGCAATGGATGTTCTTGGAGGATAACGAATTTCAAGCAGACGATGGAGGTTGTAAGTTGTAACAGACTGTCTCAGGGTGACATCATGATCGGTCTTAGCTGGCGATCATTGCATGCAAGGGAGGCAATCATAAGAGCCTCAGCCTGTGGCAGTCTTAAGCATCTCGCTATCGAAGCCAGAGCCAAGTTGTCCAACGTCCTCCATAGAAAGGGCCGCCAAGAAATACAGTGTACAGCTCGTCCGTCAAGCCCTGCCCTCATGAGAATTCTGCTAATTCTATGCTTACTCTTCAACAAAAAACTATCAGGACTTGCTGGACAGGCAGAAATATAGCATAGTAGCCATCCCCGCACCCCAATCCGAGTATCCAACTGAGTCACAACATAGAACCTAGGTAACTTAGATGTTCAAAGTGAACACCTACAAACTCCAATCCGACAGTCCTATTGGCCCAAGAGCATCATATGCAGGCAGCACATCGCACATCCTGCAAGCGGTCCAGCACCGCCTGACAGGCCAGTCAGAAGAAGCAGACGGCGGTTCCTGGGCGAAACCTGCAGCAGAAGCGGTTGGCTGGCGGCGAGCAAGGCCACGTTGAAGACGCTAGACTGGGATCATCCAAATGGAGCGCGAAGACCTGGACCAATCATGGTTGTCGTTTGGTAGAGAGGAGATTACCTAGTACTCCATTTCTGTGTTGTCTCGTGTTCTTGGATTATTGCTAGGAATGACAAAAGACATATGCTTGATGATATCTGTGTGTGTTATTAAGTCATGTATTGTGTTAATGATAATTGATGAATAGAGCAATCTAAATGAGACCCAAAGGATTGCAGCTGTTGACCTTATTCATCAGGCATCAATCAGACAGTGTACTTTCCTTACCTGCCTTAGTCCATTCCATTGTTATTTTCTGGATCATCCAATCAGCAATGTCTGCACATACTTTGTTATTCGTAGGCTAACTGTGTTTGGTTAGAGTTTCTGCCAAGCGAGCCACTCAGCGTATGCAACCACTTGACTTGTCTCAACCCATCATCTCCCGCCCGACTGTCTGGAAATAATAATAAAATCCACGTTCTTTTAAGATTGCCTGGAACAACGCCTTTCAGGGAGCTCTTCCTCTCGGACCTTTTCTCTTCATCTCTTCACTCTTTCTTCACTCCTCTCCTGTTCATCATCCTCTCCTCTTCCTCCACTCCCCATACATCTCCATCCATCCTCTCCATACATCCATTTAACCTAATCTCTTCACTTCTCCCGCCTTTTCTTTTTCTTCTTCCACAGCTTCTCTTCTGATTGATACGTCTTTTATTCTCGCTGTTTTGCATTAGGATTACCTTGCTCCCCAATCACAATTGGCTCCCTTTCTCAATCTACATCGAGCTTTGGTTGCTGAACCCCAGTCGAGGGAAAAGGCGGGCGGAAAAAGAAACGAGCAAACCCACCGAAGCAGGTGACTGGCGCGTATCAGGCCGATACCCGAACACCGTCAACTTGCGGAGTTCATCCTCTTCGCCCCCAACGCCCATTCATTTCTGCCACCGCACCGCCGACCTTCCTCCCTATTCTTCTTTTCCCCCTCACGGCTGAGAAACAGACTCTATTCTTTTTTTCTTGTGCGGGATACCGGGAGAAATAATAAAATCGTTTAATAGAGGGTGAAAAACAAAAAGTCTTACTTTTTCTTTTTCGAAGTGACTTCTCCGCTTCGCGTCGACTTTTCTTCTCTTCCTCGTCTCTGGCCATCGCTTGTGTCAGAGCTTCTTTCCGCTTATCTCGCGTCAAGCGTCCTTCAACACTGCTGGAGTTGCAGAGCACACTCCACGCGTTCATATTATCTTTTTTTCAGGTCGGAAACTACTCGCTGGATTCTTCTTCGACGACATTATTGACTAGCCTCTAATTGTCGCCTCTCTCACTGTCGGATTGCATCTGTCGTCGCTGCCTTTCACTTTCATATCAGTTCCGAGTTAAGGCTTCACTTGTGACACATTTGAGTTGCTCATCCGTTCGACGTTTGGGTATCATCTGGTTGCTGTCCTCGTTGGATCTAATCGTTTACTCTCTTATCACTACCGGTTAGTTGCCTTTGGTTGGTATGTTAATCTGCTCCTGCTAACGCGTTGTAGGTCCTGTCGAAAAATCAAATCACCAGCAACCTCTTTCCTCACGACTCCGTCAATCTTTCCGCGGAATTCAGCAGTGTTGCCTGATTATTTCCATCGTGTGTGCCCTCGACATCATCCTAATAACGTAATTTCCTCGAACGAAGCCATTGTTAATTCACCGATCCACCTCCCTCCTGCCATTCGCGGAGTGTTGATAATACTCTTTTATTATCTCGTGCACATATTGTCTATATCCCATTTACACGAACTTTGAGTATGGACGCTGGCGGTCTTGCTCAAATGACTTACAATTCGTCATTCGGTAACGGCAACAGTCTCGGAGCTCCTGGTTCCGGGTTTGCTTCTCGGAGAAAAGGCTCCAACATCAAACGTTTGAACGTGCCTCCTCCACATATTTCTACCATCGATGAGTCCCAGCCTTCGGCGCCGGTTCCTCCTACCCCTCGTACTAGCCGGTCGCATCTTTTGGCGGGTCTGAGAACTGCTCCCAAATCTGCGACCTTGCCGTCCGCATCACAACGTCAGCAGCATCTTGGCCTGGAAACAGGACGATATGGAGCCCATACCAGTGGCACAGCTGATCGTGTTCCGCAAACTGCGACGGGAGCTGGCTTTCCCCGGCGTTCGTTTGCCACCAATCAACATCTGGACATGGGAAATGGGCGGCCGATGTACACTCTACCGGAACAGGTGCTTGCACCGCCGGCCATCGACATCGCGGCCGATATGCCGATGGACGAGAACCTTTACGCGGAACTGATGTCGACTAATCTCTTCCTGGCTGCCCAGCAGCAGCGCTTGCAGCAGCAGTTGATCAGCGTCACTGCTGCAGCACAGCAGTTTCAGGGCCTCAACCTTGGAGCGTCCATGGGGCAAGTCCCTGAAATGCCCTCTCTTTCCGTTCCCGCCATGGGCTTCTACCAGCAGCAGCTCCAGCAAGGTGTTCAGCCTGTTGTGCAGCCGGTCCCTGGTCAACCGGGGCTATTTTCTGTTTATAATCCTCTAACTGGCCAGCACAATTATGTTTACGACAACAGTTATATGCAAGACAATGCTTCCTCGCCCTACCGGGAAGAGGAGGATCAATCGCCCGTTACGCAGACACCGGCCTTCTATGCTGAGGTGTCTCCGCCATCGGAATCAGTGCAGTCCCCTTTGGAAAGGCAGCAGACAGTCTCACCCCCGAGAACCAGCCCATCACCTCCTAAGGACGTCGCCCCTCTTCCGCCCCATCCGCCAACGCGTTCCGCCGGGGTCACAAGAAGAGTTCGTCCGTCAACCCAGCAGCAGGAGCCACGATTGACACTGCCCGGGCCAACAACGCTGCCGTCAACTCTACTGCTCCCAAGTCGGCTGTCTTCCCTTCCACGCCGGCTACAGGCACTTTCGGTCCCGGTCAAAACCGCGCTGGAGAGCATCCCGTTCGTCAGCCCCGTAACCCTCCTTCCCTGGAAGAGCTCGTCGCCAAGCCGACTTCCAAGCACGAGGGGAGCAAGAATTTTGCGACTCGCCAGCGCCGACGTGCCCTTCACAGCCTTGTGCGTGCGGGGATTGAACGACGTGGGGAGACGCGGAGCATTGGATATACCAGCAGCGGTGGCACCAACACTCCGGCTAGTGAAAAGGACTTTGCATTCTCCGATGGCGATGATGCTACTGTTCGCAGTGGTAGCCTTTCGAGCAAGCCTAGCCTGGGCAGTTTGCGCGCTGTGGCCAACGGTGCTATTGGCTCTGAGCGCAAGGAGCGATCCTCGCGGGAACGCAAGTCCCAGGACAGCCCTTATAACACGACTACCCCTGTCAGCGAAGATGGCAGTTTCTTCGGGGTAAGTTTGCGGATATCCGGGCGGAGCAATCTCCCCCAAGCGGCCCACCCTCTGTGGCTGCTGTCGTCGCAGGTCAGAAGACGGCAGCTCAGGCTCCTGAAAGGCGCAAGACGCCAATGCTCGTGCTTTCCAGCGCCGAAAAGCGCAAGACCCTGTTCATGTAATGTGGACGTCGTACATAATGTGACTTGTGACGTAACGGACTTGCCCCACTTTGAATGTCTTTCTTTTTGTCCTCTTGGTCTTCTTATTGTTGCTGTGGCCCAGACTAATCTGGAAGATCAACCGTCTTGGGGCGGTATTTTGATTATTATGATATTGGTGCCTTCGTTTCCTTGACTTGTCAGAGGGCTTGGAACGCCATGGACACCCAACCACCGACACTTGTTCAGTTGAATGATACATCAGTCGGAGATGAATGACTTTCTTTCTCACTACGGTTCTGCGTCTTCTTTTTCATTCTTTCTATTATTTGAAGAGATTGACGAACACATGGAACAAGCATACAGGGACATTCTTCTTTGGACTGAGACTCTGCTTGGCTTGACGTTCCATGTTTCCCTCATTACGTGTATGTACATCTGGCTATGTGCATATCGATTCCATAGTAATGGACCAAGTATTCGTACAGACATTTTGCTCTAAGGGGCATACCACTGCCCTTGATCATAGACTGGAGACGTAGCAGCCTTTATACTAGACACAGAAGAAAACCGTTATATCAGTTTATTGATTGATCTAGGTCGATATTGACAGAGCGTTATCGATAGTGACTCATGAGCATCATCAGGAAGGATAATTCGCGACTCTTCAGAAATAGTACGTGTATGATCAACAATCATGACCACGACTTATGCTTTTGTTTCTTGCATATGATCAAATCGAATCGAATCAAATCGCCAACAGAGCATACTCGCTACCAACCAACTACCGGATAATAACATTAAAGAACAAATGCCGCCGTGAAAACCCCGTGTTCGCGCCATCAGTCAAATCAATCAAATCGATACCAGTCCAGTACAGTCCGAAAAA